TGCGAACGAGATTGTTTCGTACCCTGGCATAAGCGCCACAAAGTCCTGATTTAAAATCGCAGTTACATTGTTGACATTTCTATTATCCAATGATAATTAGTGATTCAAAAGGCGCAGGACCCCCCGACTCCTAGTCGCGTTTTATCTTAACCAACGTAGTTGTCGAACCCGCAAGTGTCATAATGACCACTATTAAAACAAAATACTAATCCAATCAAATTTAACAATGGTAATCTCTTTAACAGTAAACTGTTTCGCATTACTCAGCTGACCGACGTCGCAATCATTTCTGGTCTTGGTACCCATCATGACGGAATTAAAAAATTAAATTCTGTGTACTAATCCAATCCGTTCAATGCTAATCTCTTTAAGAATAAAGAGTTTCTTAATACTCACAAGTGGTCGCAAGCGTAGTCAATCAGTCGCACCAGCATTCACCACCGACTACGTTTACGAACATGTTGATATAATGTCATTACGGTATAAATTTCAGACAGATAGGTGCAGGCAGTAACATTATTACTCTCTCATATGTAAATAATTTAATTAAATCAACCTGCCCATAATATCGTGTATAATGTATTGTACGTTAAATAATATAATAAACAATAACACGAGTCTGTAAGGAACTTACAATTTTCTAAGGATATAAAACAGTTTAAAATCAAATATAAGATATTATTAATGTAGAGCAGGGAATCATTCATTACAATCAGAGACAACAATCAAATACCTTCAAATACCTGTCGTAAAAGATCACTACGAGACATAGTATGCATATTCTTTGCCGAACACCTAGTAACTCCTCTCACGTATTAATGACGTTCACATTACTAATGTTGTACTTTTTGAATAATCAGGTCTGAAATTACAAATTTGCTTTTAGAACGATTATTCTGTCACATTGGTCAATTTATTTATTAGTATCATTATGATGTCGAGTCGAATAAGGTTCTCTCACTAGACAAGCGATCCAAAAACAAAACCTCGAATAAAAATACAGAAATTTCGTTTCACTGTTATTTACAGAAATTTCGTTTCACTGTTATTTACAGAAATTTCGTTTCACTAATATTTACGTTACAATTTTGTCGTTAGATTTCTGATGACATGGCACAATTAAAGAAAACAACACTAATCCAATCCACTCTACAAAGTTAATCTCTTTAAAAAGAGCATTTTATCTTAATACTCAACCTCAAGTATCCGACGAGCTCGCCGTAGTATAGTATTTGTATTTATCGTGCGACGATGAAATTAAAGAGTGATCATTTAACTGTTCAAGCAGCAATGATTGGGGGCACTTACGATTATAATGATTAAATTATCAATTACCCTAAAAACGCTTGAAATGTCTGTTTGAAAACAATGCTCAGTGGTTTAACCATAACAAGATAATGTTGGTATTACTTTACCAGCACATACGTTTCACAGTCTGTTATTTTTAATAACGATAAATCATTATTGTAAAACTGTTTATATTATAAGCATCATTGAAAAACTGTTTATATTATAAGCATTATTGCACAACTGTTTATATTATAAGCATTATTGTTAAACTGTTATATTATAATTATTATTGTAAAACTGTTATATTATAATCTTTATTGTAAAACTGTTATATTATATAAGCATTATTGTAAAACTGTTTATATTATAAGCATTATTGCAAAACTGTTTATATTATAAGTATTATTGTAAAACTGTTTATTTTATAAAATTAGTTATTTTACAAGCATTTTTCTAAAACTGTTTATTTTATAAGCATTTTTCTAAAACTGTTTATTTTATAAGCATTATTGTAAAACTGTTTATTTTATAAGCATTATTGTAAAACTGTTTATTTTATAAGCATTATTGTAAAACGGTTTATTTTATAAGCATTATTGTAAAACGATTTAGTGTTTGATTAATATTTCCCAGTCATGGTTTTATATGAATGTCGAACCATGACTATCGAACCCAGGTTTATTGTTTTAGTCGTCTGATTTATTATCTTTATACTGATATCTCGAAGAAATATTTCCATGAATATCCAACTCAGTTTATTGTTTCAGTCTAATCAATTATCTTTAAACTGGTATCTCGAAGAAATATTTGCAGCACATTCTTTTATATGGATATATAAAATATACTGACCATTGGTTTCCTGGTGTATTGTGACTTCAAATTCAATAAAGACTTGTTAAATATTTATTTTCAAATATTCAAAGAACTGTAAGGGTAAAGTTATATTGCTAAGGGGCCAAGTTTGTCACAAAACTCGCCTGAAACGTATAACGTCCTGTGATAATGATTTTTGTACATAGATATTTCTAATTGTTGCAGTTTATACTGGATGATGTTAATTTATCTTTGTGTCGACTACACAGTTCAGTCTGTTTGGCTTTCCACTCTCGGTTTACGGGGCAAAATAAGGTTAATTGATGTACATGTATATCATTAAAGAAAGTCTAAAATTGCAGAATTACATAAAGATGAAGCGGAATGAAAATCGCAACCACTGTTTTGTTTTGAGATCGTCATAGGAAGGCCGGTTATATAAACTTTGTACTTTTAATATTCAACGGATGTTCATTATCATCTGTCCGTTCATTACCCTATGGTTACGTCGGGACACGTTTTATTCATATCGCATTCGAACCCAAACCCCTCCATTCATGACCACAAAATCATTTCATTCATTCAAATTTTCCAATTTAATACATTTAAGAAAAAAATGTACTGTGATAACCGAAAGATATCATACATAAAGAACATCAAGTCTTCATAGATTTCCTTCTGTTTTTATTTTCCATTCGTTTAATAAAGAAACTTGAACATATTGATAAAATCAGACATGGTATCTTTTGGTCGACATTGAGTTTTCCTTTCTCTGGAAACAACGGTACATTTATAAAAGATAATAAAAAAACATGTACAAGCAGCTTTCATTGATAACTCATACACATCGCCCAAATTGTAACAAAGCGCATGACAGGAAGGTTTAGCGTTATCAAAAATTCCGACTTGCTAAACCGACCGTGGACAAAATTCTTCACTTATAAGATCCAGGTTAAAATGAAATAAAGATATGGGTTGATCTGGTGTTATTTGATTAGTAACAAGATAAACTCCATTTCAATAAATTTTGATTTCTAAAACTTAAGCAGAATTTATTCCTTTTCTCTGTTTTAGTATATCAATTTTTGTTAGAACTGTCGACTGTTAAACACGAAATGCTATTGAAACATTGGCTTAATCAGGGGACCTACAATTTTAATTATAGACATATTTCAACTCCACAAAACAATTCAACTGATGTAAAACGAAAATCGTAAAGTTCGGACATGTAAAGTAGCACGACCTTTCGACAAGTATTCGTTTTCAAGCACACAAGCGATAAGAGAATACTTGTCGAAATGTCGTTCTATATGTGTATAAACCAGTGATTGTTTTCCATATACACTGTGTTGTGATTTTGAATGAAATGAAATGGGATTTAACGTCCTACTGTTCTGTTCCGACTGGGCTAATGAAGACAAACATACGCCATGCCGTGTGCTATGAGGGAACTTTTGCACTATGGCCTATTCTTATATCGAATTCCAACTGCCAAGGGATCAATATGTACACGGGATGTCGGTTTTTCGTCCCATCCGAACGACTAGGCAGCTATCCTTGTCAGGCCCTCCGTCCTGCACCACTGACAAGGGGAAACTACGTCGGAAAATCCCGATGACATTTCTCGGCCAATGCAGGGATCGAACACGCGACCTCCAGGATAGCTAACCAGCGTTTCACCCACTTAGCCACCATGGCTCCGTGATTTTTAATGTGCTCAATCGCTAAATTCCACTCAATGATTATATATAAACTAGCTTAACTTCTTTCATTCAAGCAACGAAATATGGAATGAGTTCTGAGAAAATCTTTATACGATTAATAATATTGTTGGGGAAAGATCACGCAGAACTCGGCATGTTTACTAATTTTATTTTCATTTTTGGCTTACTGTGCCGTTCATTGCGGAGCATAAAAGCGCCAAACCTCAACAATGGAGTTATCTAAAATAAACAAAAAAAGAACATATCAACTTATCAAATAAAATGAAATCGAAAATTAAATTTTGACTCAAATCAAAGAAGTCTAGTCACTTGAAATAAACAGCTTTTAGATTTGTTTGCATTCGAAGATCAAAATATATTCAAAGTCTGGTTCTTAAAAATATATACTCGTAAAGTCGATAACATTTTTCTCTATATTCGATACTTCCATGACAGTAAAAAAAAATTCGCGTTTCTAAAGAATTCCCGAAAGACAAATTGAACGAATTTGCAATTTTTGATGAAGATGATTACTAGAAATTAGTCTGTCACAATAAATGCATGTCAACACATTTCATTCACATTAACCCAACACGCGAATTGAGAAAATATTTTTCTCCTTAGGATTACGACCTGTTATAAGCCGAAAATTATACCAATTTCTACTTGTAAGAATTAATGCTTACAATATTGAAGAAAATATGCAGAAGCGTTAAAAAACGAGAAGAAGTCCGCCGTCTAAGTCAATGTTTTGATTAATAAAACTAATAGTACAAATAATGTTGTGATTTTAGTCTAAAGATGCCATCATAAAAAACATAAACAAGAGATTAACGGAGGTTGTATTCTATTTGATTGGTGATAGACATTAACACAAGTCTTCACGCTTCTCCGCTTCAAGGAGCACCCATTTTGGCTGGAGTCTCCTAGCAGTGGCGGCTATCCTAACTCTCTTCGGGTCTAACTCATAGACAACCAAATAAAATTCAATGGCTTTTGTTGTAAGCCTCTTAGCAAAGTTCTATTCAATTTAAACAATAGCCATCTTCAGACTACGGTAATCCATTCGGTTGTTCGTTTGTATTGTTGTCTTCACTCAGCCATTGAAAAGCATTGATTGACAGTTTGCCTCTCACTAGCCAATGAAATCTTTAGATGGGCGGAGCTTCGTCTGGTAGATGTATGTATTCATATATTTTGGGGGCCGACACAACTGATTTAAGTGGTGGTTAGAAGCAGTGGATGTGTGCGGTAAGAAGACTCGGTGATCTGTAGTTAGAAACATACTTAACTGAAAATTACCTTTAATCAGAACGACCTGACTGACTATCATGTTGAATATGACAGGCAATATGGAGGGCATGGACCCAGAAATGGCCAGTAAATCGGCATTCATGGAACTACAGCAGCAGTCAATGTCAGGAGGCATGGGGCACCCGGCTTACAATATACGTTCTGGGTACCCTCCACAGCATTCTCAACACGAAATGTTTCCAACTTCTCAACATACACGTTCGTTTGGGTACCCGTTTTCAATGAATAGTATGGCCCCGTCTGGATATAATGCTGTCCCTCCTTCTCATCATTTTCCAATGTCCCCATACCAGCCACCTTCACCGACTCGAGACGGTAAGTACAGTTATTATTTATCTTTTTTTAAAACTCATCATTAGGTATGATAATCTAGTATAGTATATAATCGCTGTAACATTTAATACGATAAAATTACTAAGTAGGGATTTAAATTGAGCGTAATTTCACGTTTTAATGTTAATAATTGGTCGATAGTTGTCTGCGTAATGCATGGCTTGTTAAGTAAATATGTATTATTGCTTTTTAGAATGTGCTAAAGTGCTATATTTATTTGTTATAAACGAGACCAGGACTTTATTCAATTCTTTTACAATTCATAAAAAAATACTGTATATTGGGGAATATGATACCAAACTTTCTCACATAAATAGTTGTATAATTTGGTAGTTGACCTTTTTTCCATTGTCAAAGTTCGGATCAAGATTACGACATTTTATTAATGGGCTTAATTATACTAATTATGGAATAGTCATTAAATGCCTCTATTATCAATACAAACGCCGTGTGTATTTTTTTACAGCTTCATATTTAACAAACAATAAACTGCGAAAAATGTAGAGAAATATACCTTCATAGAATCATATTTATATGTATATACGGACAAAAAAAAACATTGTGGATATTTTCTATAATAGGATTTTAGAATTTCAAAATAAGCTTAATGTTTTCTTGATTCTTATAAATTAAAAAAAAAAAAAAATCAAGGTCGTATGATTATTATCCCTTGGTAGTATATTTATCGGTTTCTTTATAAGAATCGGGTTTCTGATAATTTAGCTAATTTGTCATTAACATCACAAATTAAAATAAAATTTAAAACAATAACAAAACATAAAAAAAAACGTTTTCTTTAATTACGTGGGCGTATTTCGGAGGGTGTTATATATATTAACGTAGTTCTCGGTTATTCTGTATAAATAATATATTATTAAATTTGAGCAATTAACAAATTTTCAAATAAAAGTAATAAATAAATCATTACTTTATGTTAGAACGCCTAATAAGGTGTCATTTGTTGTCAATCGTCAATGCTCAGTATAATATTTGGAAGTGACAATTATTACGCATACTGTTAAGACAGAAAATCTGTCGCGCGTTTCCAGAATCTGTGTATAGAAGCATGTATGGGATTAAAGAACAAAAAATGCCATCAAAGTACGAAAATTTATTATCAAGAAAACATAAATTACATACAATAAAGAATATCTCACATATTGGGTTCAAAAAGTCTTAATAGAATTTTTTCAATATCAGTTACCCTCGAAGTAAAATTTCAATTAGGCATTTGTAAAACGTAATCAGCTATATACTGTCGCACAATGACGCTCCCATTATAACGCTGATGATGAACTTGTTTCTCATAGGTGTATACAATTTCTAACTCCCTATTAAATTTCACCGGGGTGTATGAAGAAAGGTATCCTGCTCGCTATCTATGTATCTTGTTTTGTGCTTGAAATATCACTAGTACAATCTTAACATGTGAACTCTGTTGGTTTTTTATTCTCATATACGAGAGAGAACTAAAAAAAAAAAAAAAAAAAAGCATGGCCGACTTGATATACGTAGTCTATTCTAATATTTTTTTAACACCGAACATAACATATTTATATGTTACTTGAACAAACATTGCATTGACAAACTAAACAATACCCAATGAAGAACAGTAAAAAAAACCCAAAAAAAACCCGAATAAATATATGATAGTATTCGTAAATATTTCAAACTTAGAGAAAAAAAAATATCAAAATTTTGATAACTTGGCCAATAATATGAAATGAGGTTTCATAGTCAAGCTAGACTCTAACAGATGCGAAAGATTTTTTCAATAGGGATAAGATTGTAATCATGATAAGCTTTTTAAAAACATTTTATGAACATTTTGTACAAATAATTAATTTGGTTAATGTGACAGTGAATAATATTAGTGCTGTATTTTGATATGTTAGAGATCAAAATCTAAAAGTTGTATTGCGGAATAGTATTAACATATTTGTTGATTTAAACGGAAATCGAATATATATCGACTCTGCTCTGTATGTGCCGTACAAAGCGTAATTCGAACGAGCCTGCACACGTATACTTGAAAACCTGAGCTCCGTCGTGTTTATATTTCCGTATTAATTGTTAAATTTATATGTAAAAAGTAACTTTTAATCAAGCTATCATACTATTGGATTTTAAAGAAAGGCCAAAGATTATATCAGCTTTGAATTTTAAATGTTTCTACCATACTGTGTCAGTACAAAGATAGTATCTAACAAAAATCACTAAGGTGCGATGTTTTATTAAGAGCAAAATATTCACGATTCTACGAAATGATATATAACATATTTTTAATTATTAGGACAAGTATACATAGTTTGCCCTTTAACAAAGATGAATTTATTAAAAGCTACATCTATAGAGCAATGTTCCGTTACATGATCAAAGACCTATATATTGAAATCACGTAAAAACTCCAATATATGTGTTATGCTTAAGTGAATTAAAAACAAAGAGATATACCTTTATGTTATTTCTGTAAAGCATATCTACCTAAAACATATTTAAATAACGCTGTAAAATTTACCTGAAAAGAGCCATGAATTCAGCGATATCTCTAAGTTATAAATGTACGTTCATGAGTATCACACAAAGCGATTCTTACGGGGGGAGGAGAGAAATTTAAAAGTTAGACACTGTTCCAAATACATAATTGCGAACTATTTAATAAAAATACAAATGAGATATATCTTTACGTTATTTGTGCAAAGCATATAATATAACTAAAATATCTTTAAATAACGCTGTAATAATTCGATGTAAAGGGTCATGAATTCAGCGATATCTCGAAGTCTTAAATGTAGTTCCGAGTATCACACGAACCGATTTCCTACGGATGAAAAATTTAGAAGTTAGGCACTGTACCAAATACATAATCGAAAACCAATTAATAAAAAAGCAAAAGAGATATATTTACGTTATTTTGTAAAGCATATACTATATCTAAGATATCTTTAAATAATGGTGTAATATTTCGGTGAACATGGCCATGAATTCAGCGATATCTCGAAGTGTTAAATGCAAATCCAGTATCACTCGAAGCGATTCCTATGTATGACAATTGAAAACTAAGTAATTACCCCGAGCATGTCGAAGTTATTCCGTTAATTTCACATTTTCTTCCCAAAATATCACATTAAATTTAATTAAACAGTTTATATCCAGAGTATGTTTTATTATCAAACTGAAAATATTACAATTATGTTAATAAAACGTATTCCTATACCTGTTAGATACATTATGATATTTTCTAAACAGTGCCAAATCAATATGATAAATCCCTCGGAGCCCCAAACCACATAAATCCGTATTTATTCATATTTTTTTAATCATATACATCCATAACTGAAATCAAAAAAGAGAGGCATCTATTTTATTTTCACCAGACCCGTCCATGTACTCCCCTCGAATATGAATTATGCATCCGATAAATTATTTTTCTTCACAGATAAATCTCAAGTTGAGGAACAGCTAAGAATAAACGGCAAAGGAAAGAAATTACGCAAACCACGAACAATATATTCCTCCCTTCAGCTACAACAGTTAAATCGTCGTTTCCAGAGAACTCAGTATTTGGCATTGCCAGAAAGGGCCGAGCTGGCCGCATCCCTAGGTCTTACACAAACACAGGTAAGCTTTAATATAACATAGACACTGATCATTGCTCTCTCTTTTATACAACGCTAAAATTGACCAATTTCACAAAGGGAGTTATTTTCCTCTGTTAAGGGGACATTTACCATATTTGATTGGAGTAAAGTATTAGTTTTGTCAACAGCAAAATTTGCCTTGATTATACGCAATTTTCTCCAACGCCGAGGCTTAAAATTTCATAATGGCGTCTGATTAGGTGTTTTAACATTTACTGGTTAATTTATTTGACAAGACAACGCACTTAAGAGGGGGGAACAAATGAGGCAATATTTACGGAATCTTTCATCAACAAATCATATATCGGCAATTGGCCATTGATTTTCGGAAAAAATTAAATTGCCATGTTTAAAATAATAACTGGTATAAAGGCAAATTAAGGCCTATTTAGTGTTATTTTGTGCTGGGGTCGATGTGCATGGGATAGGTTGCCAGCGATACTAGATAGTTTTAACTGTCACTTCTACCATGACACCTCATCTACATCACCAACTTTAATTTCTAGTGTGGGACTTTGAGCTAAGAGGAGTCACTACATTATAATTTCTCTTCGCCATTGATTATTTTTAATGATACGACCAAAGACATGTCTTGATTCCTACTATATATTTATCATTTTTATTCTTTCTTTTATCTTCGCTTAAATAGTCATTAAGCAAAAACTGGCTCTTGAAACGAAATCAAATGAAGAATACCCAACAACCGATATTCCCTCTTTTCCTTTGGTGTTTCCTTTGCGCTTTTGTCTTCATATACAGATCCTCAGATATAAGGAAACCCTCCAAAGGTTGATAAGTCTTCCAAAAAGGAGGAAACCAAGCGCGGGAACATAACTAAGGGATATAAAGCCAAAATTAATTCGAAAAATTAAAAGATAAACTTATTTAAGGAAATGTTTTGTATAAATTAGGATTGTCACCAATACATTGGGTACAAAACTAAGGAGTTTCTTTAAAACTGAACCCAGACATTAAAGCGATAAATATGTTAGGGTGATTTACAGAATATTTATAGAGGAAATTCTGCTGTAATTTTATATCCTCGTTATAAATGGTACAAGTCTATAAAACAGCGGGGTACATGTTAGTGTTTTAATCAGTAGGACATTATAACATATTATATTTGTATGATACACCAATAGACAAGAATAAAGGTCGTCGCCTTGTTGAAACCCCCCTTTTTCAATATTTGCTTGTTCACTGCTTTATAATAAGGTTAATTAACTACTGTCGAGCGGCAATAGAAGACGATATTTCAGAAAGTTTAAAGTTTTATTAGCTGAATTTAAATTCTCTGGTAACTAAATGTAAGAGTTAATGTTGTTCTACAGTTTGGAGACCTTCCTTCAGATCTGAACTAAGTATTTGTCAGTGCTCAATTTTGTACAAGTACAATTAAATCCCATAACATTAGTAATTGACACGGCCATTTTATTTTCGAAATGTTGAAATGGTGTTGTTCTGAAATTGTCAGCTTTAAAACCCCAACTGCACTCAAAGCCCAGACACTTGTTAAGACATCATTGGAAACGGTGATGATTACAAATACGTATCAATTCATAATTATATAGAAATGTGGCGGGTTTAGTTTGTTGTTGACGTCATGTATTGGGCGTACAGCTGGGCTATATTTGTATATATTTAAAGGTATATAGTGTCAGGTGTAGAAAAAGGGCCACGGTGGGAAAAAAACATCCACTGAACTTGAGCCAAGGGTTAATAGGTAGACTATTTATTGTCAATCTAACTATTAATATTTTATACTTGATATCACATATAGGGCATATTTTTCCATTTACTATTGGCCCAATTATAAAACGTTTTGATGCTAATGGATGAAGTATAATGGGAACCTAAATTCCTTCTTTATATAGAGATATTGTAATATATCTCGGAGATTATCATATAATACATATTACAAATTACACATACATTATAAAATGAATTGTGAATATCATATATACTGTGAATATCATTGACTTTTTGATAAAATTAAATGTCACCGCAGTCTGAATAAATCTGCATTTAAGTATTTTAAGTGTCACACGATGTATATTTAAATAACATTATCAGTTAAAAACTTAATTTAAAAGAATATCGATCGAACAGTATGGTATATGAGACACTATATATATATACGGTTTTAAAATACAGATTCGTGATATCTTTGAAAAATGTTAAATATATAAGTGCATATAATACATGGTTTGATCTCACTATAAAACATACTAATAATGTTCCCTTTTTGAGACATATTATAGAAATTTTGCATGTTTTTACATGTCTTTAAAACGTCCACAACGGAGGTCGGCATACAGTTGACATTATCTTTCGAGCTTTATGAAGGGTTTTGGTATCATTAACCAATAACGAGAAGCCTATGGATGTGACATTTCATTGTAAGGGTCGTTCCAAACACTTAATAGAAACTAACTTATGATTTTAAATTGTGATGTTGGAAGTCATAGGTATCATTATTAACTTTTCTACACACCCAAAGCGTCGGTTTTTGTTTCTTAATAGGTATTGGGGCAGTGACATTGTGAAATATTGCGTTTATTAACTTGGTTATATTGGTTTGCATTATTCAGGGTTAATTTCCATCTTAACACTAAGAGCATTTTCTGTATTGAACAACTGAAGGTTGTATTTAAGTTTTGAATTAAAAAAAAAAGGAATACAGAAGCTCGGCTTCTATTGACCTTTTTTAATATCGAACCATATGATACAATACGACATACTTAGTTTTTCACACCAAGTTACATCAAAGATGTTAGATTCATTTCAAAAACCTGCATGAGTGGTCGTCTATTCTTTTATTATAATGACTCCATTTTTAAAATGAAATGCTAGAAATTCTATTGCGTTCTTTGTCTACAATACGAGAAATACAATTTATTCGTTTAAGAAATCCAACAAAGAAACATCGTCATAACAAAATAAAAGTTATCAAAGCGGGGTTTCATGTCGAAAAAGGACTTTCTTTAGTGAATATTTTGATAAAGATCGTAGAAGGTAAACTGGGATAATAGAAGGAAAAGATGCAGAGAAAACAAGCCATCAAATGGTACAAATTTCTATTAGGCGCATAACAAAAGTTTATTTGATTTTGTGTATACAACATTTGGGTTGAGTGGCTAAAGCTGACTGATGAGAGATGCGATGGTTTAAATAGATTCAATGATTAGAACTTGTGTATGGCTTGAGGGCAGATACAATCCTCGTATATCGATATTTCGATCGGTGGATTTGTGTTAGATCTAACATCTCTTTTGGTTAGATACCCAACCATGGCCCTGGAGGCTACGTAATCTATTTAAAACTTTAAATTAGCAGTATTTCAATTAAACCTCGAGTTACCACATGCTCAAGCTTTTGCCATGTTCTTTCCTTTTTTTTTGATCTTCTTTATCTTTTAAAAGTTTATTTCGGTCCATTTAATGTAGATCTGTTTAACCTTCCGATATCTTATTTTTGCATATATTAATACTCGAAACGTTTTAAAACAGAGATCAATTCAAGCCCCTCTTTCTATATCGGGAATGATTTTTCACACGTTCTGGGTATTAGAACCAACAAAGTAATACATTAATTCTGATTAAAACACTTATCCCCATACCCTTCGGGGAATGCTTTATAGTAGATATCGTGTTTTGTTGTGTATCTATTGATGATCTATATTTTACTAATCAATTATTTTAAAGGTAAACAAACATGTGTCTAAAAGTGGGTGTTCATGCGATTTCTTGATTAAGACATTCAGTGGCGATTCTTTTCATAAACAACTGTATCGCTAGTTGCTGTGTTTCTATCAAATACTTTTATAAAATCTTTAATTATTTTCATGTGCGAAAGTATTGTTTTAAAAGATGTGTTTAATCTTATTTGATATGGTTTCTTGATTCGATTACATAAAGCAATACGTCTGCTGTGTTGAGATCTTAAATTAACTTTAAATACATGTAAATGAAATTATCGAAACGAATTGCGGAACATATTGTTATTGCAGACGGGTATCACATTAAATGAAATCATAATCAATAATGAAATTTATTAATTTTCCACATGTTACGCAACTTACGTTTATTGAATAATGAAATTAACTAAGTGAAATCACGACTCTGTCAATCAAATAAGTCTCTTTATATAAGTGTTGGATGCTGGACTTATCTGATGTTCATTACTCTGTGTTTTGTTGGCGATAATTTATTATTAATAGCAGCCTTTATTAATCCTTTATTAGCGATAAAAGACTTTAATTCTGTGACTATTCTACAGGGACATAATATCATTTATCTATCATCGTCTTCATATCGTCTTTCTCCCGGCGCTGTCAATGATCTTCGCCATCTCCGCATCGCTGTTTATGGTGGTCACGTGACACACTAAATTAATTACAAATCAATTACGGTAAAACGATTAACAAATGTTTAAGAAAATGAAATTAATTAACGTGACACTCGCCGCAAATAGTCAATCTTATCAGGTTTCTGGTAGCACATGCCGTAAATCTGTTGTTTTACACACACTGTACGGAAAAACGTCAAGTATCAATGTCACGTCGTTTAAAAAGACATCGGAAAAGATTTTTTTAAAAGCTGCCATGAAAGGCCTTCGATCATACTTGTCAATGATGCTATATGAAAAAGGAAAAAAAAATATGTCTGTTTATTTAGCTTTTCTTTAAAACTAAATAGAAAAATCCCCAAAGCGGGTTTTAAATATTGGGCGGTGGTTTGAATATTAAAATAGGACGGAAAATGTGTCAATTTTCAGAGGAAAATATCTCATTCCTCGTCAAAAAAAAACCCAAAAGAAAACAAAACAAAAAAACAAAGATAATGAAATTTTCGGTAAATTGAAAAAAACCCCAAAAAAACCCCGAAAATAAGATGCTACAACGTATTTCCTGAATATTGTTTACACGGATGAAGCCATATCTTTCATGTTTAACTTGTAGAAATGCATTAGTTTATAATATAATATAAGAAGACACGAGGAAACAGGAAACCAATCTCTTTGAAAGAAAATCTTAAATTAAGGAAGGTTTAGAAATACAAAAAGTTGAGATCTCGCGTATAGTTGGTTTTAAAACTGAACTAGAGCGAAACAAGAGGGAGTTGGGAAGGAAAAAAAGACACGTTAGCTTCATAAAAGGAATGAATCAGCCTGGGTTAAGGGGCTAATTTTTGATACAGAACATACTTTCACACTGCGGTGAACACAAGTATATTAAAATAACATTTTGTTGCTAATGGGCTTTTAATGTAGCCGTGGCTTTAGTTAACAATAACCCCATGAAAAATAACATGAAAATATGAAATGGTGAGGATGCTAGCAAGGTTTATTCAGGTGATTTTATGTTAAACGATTCTTATGTTTATTTACCTGTGTGTGTTATCATCTCACCTGTTAGATAAAGAAGCTCATATTAAAAATCCTATAATAACCATAACTGTCGGTATTTTAGAAATTATAAATAAGTCTACATAATACGAACTCTGACAAAAAAATACAATATATTAGTGTTTGTTATTGAATAAACTAAAATCACTTTTAATTTTTTTTTAATTTTGATTAATTTGAAACGTGATATTCTTCTTGAAGATTAATAGTTAAACCTAAATACACTCAAAAAAAAAATATATTTAAAATTTTAAAAACCACAAATCTGCTTCAAAATGTACTTCCACAAATATTTTATATTGCACAATAGTTTTCAAAACTAAAGAAATATAAAATTCTAACACAACCATGTATTATTGACAGTGACCATATATATACTAGTCTACGTGTAATAGGAACCTCATTATTTTACGAATATATTATGGAGGATGTACATGGGTATTCGTCTGAACTATATATATATCCATACATGTTGATGTATAGGGTCATTAATCTTGAAAAGCCGAAACTGTCTCGGGTCGAGTACCCTATGTCAACTTTTTGTATTGGCGCCCCGTAGCGAAGAAAATGAAATTTTCTTAATTTGAAGCGTGACGAAGTAGGGAGGAAAAATCGGAAAAAAAAACCAAGCGTTTTTGTTGTTTGTTTGTCACGATAACTTCAGTAAATATGCTTTCAAAATAATTTTAACAAATTTATAATTCTAGTACTGTATTCATTAAATTACACGCGAATATGAATAAAATGTGAACACGCTCTTGTCACGTCTATTAAAATGTTTTGATCGCACCTTAGCCGGTTAATTTGTAACTTAGCTACTGTTATTTATTGGTATTTATTGTTACCCTTATCATAAATTAATTTCCGATTATTTCAAGCAAATGTGTGGGCAAACGGACAACCCATGTATTAAAATACATTATAATGATTTGAAGGGGTAGTTTATTATGGTATAAATAAATAAATAAATAAGATAAATAAATAAATAAGATAAATACAAAAATGATATATTATTTTGGGTGGAATATAAAATCGTTCAGGCAACACGTTTCCAAATTTAACGTTTCACTGAGAACAATTCTACGACGACATGGACGCCTATTGTTCATCAACCGTCTGAATTTGCTATACAAGCGTACATCTATATCGCATACAAGCAAAGATCGCATGATAAAAAATTGTGATTGAGCCAAACAATCGTAAAGTCTTTCATCTGTCCCCTGTCGCATACCTTTCTAATTTCTAACTTGCCGATGGAAGAATACAAGCATTATCTGAACATAAAATCGACTCCGCGGGTCACATAGTGCAGAGTAATTATTGAATTATATAAAAATGTAAAATCATTGTACATTTGAAATCGAGTTTATCCCATTCGGCTTTACTATCACCAACTTTGATTTAAACATATTTTAGTTTGATCTTCTAGTATATGGGGTCTGTATAGGTGACACAAGAATTAAAAACAATAATATAAAATCGATAAATACAAAATCAATCACTGCAGATTGATTATATTATTTTAAGTGGCTGGGAGAATGATATAATACATTATTATTGTTTTTAATTTATCGATTTATTTTAATAAAAAGAATTATCTGTTTCTATTAAGATGTATTTAAGTTCATTTTCTTTTTGTATTTCCAGGTCAAAATTTGGTTCCAGAACAAGCGCTCCAAATACAAGAAAGTGATGAAACAAAACCCTAACGGACCCCCACCTCAGTTAGCTAATCAAGGTCAAGCCTCATCACCCCCTCACGGTCAACAGCCTCCTCAGCAACAACACACCCCAACCGACATCCCACCCACACAGCCAACAACGCCCATTCAACAAGGTAGTCAGGGCGGACAACAACCTCCGTCAATGTTACCCGTTTCGTCATCAATGAGTCCCCAGCCGCCGTGTTCATGGTCTGATATCAGTAACAATAACCCCTCATCTAACTCTTCGTACATGTCAATGTCTCAATATTCATGGTACCATCAGAACGCAATGCCTCAACAACAGTCGTTGCTAACATAAAAATTGCTAAAAAAATACTTAGAGATTTAAAATACTCAGCTGTGACAATATTGTTATTGTGATTCCATAGAAGTCAGAGCACTCGATTCTACGGAGCTGATTCGAAGTCTACTTCCAGGAAGGTGCTTTCTGTTGTTCGAGAAGATCTTGAACTATGCTGGAAATTGGAGGGTGACTGCACCATTAAGATCTACTTAAGGCCAAGGAGTTTGTAGCAAAGCAATTCGTGGAAACAACCTCTCTACAAACTAAAGGAAGTGCCAACAATTTTTGCTGGAATCGTGAAAATACTAGAGAGAAAAAAAAACAAGATCAAATAATGTAACAAAATGTGCTCAAATATTGTATTCCGGGACGAATGTGCAAATTGTCTCATCGTACATGTAATAAGGAGATACATATAATAACTTTTATCTATATCTCTGTGTATATGTACATGTTTAAGTATTGTTTATTGTATATAGAGTATAAGTAATTTGACAATGACAATTAGTTTATCAGAAACTATATAATAATATAGAATATATATGAATTGTGTTAACAGTGCTGCTGCCATGGAGAAAAACATTTAAACATCATACTATAATTCGGATACACATCCAACCGAGCAAAAAAGAAAACAAAAATCGTTTAAAACCAGAGATATCAAAATTTATAAATTTTGAATATCAAACTTGGCAAAGTGCTTATAAGAACTGATTTCCTTAAGTTGGTAACTATTTAGGACCAATACACCTTCATTTTAATATAAGTGGTTTGTGCTCAAAAACAAAATCATCAATGTATTATTTTCACACTTATTATTCCTGAATTCAGTCTTGCTCATGTATCTGTCTTATGTAAATGTGTGTGAGTGAATAACGAACTGTCTTAATCAATAAAGACACGTCATTCCTTAGAGCGACGCCAAAGGCCAACCGAATAGTGAGAAGAACTTTGAGTTATTTGGCAATTATTATATGTTAGGAATGAAAAGGGCTAAATTACCATCGCATCCATGGTTAAATTATCCTATAGCGGTCGATGGTAAATTGCTACCTTGGAACCAGCGAGCTTCGCGATTGGCAGAATGTGGGGACCGTGATTTTTAGCAGATGACACAGTCATAGAAACTCATTATTTCTAGATGATGGCTTCGACTTTCTCTTCGGATTTTATCGAGTTTTTGCACTAAATTATAGATAATGACTTTATAATCCAATGGAAGAATTCATATATCAAAAGGGTCGATTCTTCATGATTAGCAATTTAGGTCGACATATTCCCATTCCATTGCGTGTAGCCTAGATTTTATGTCAATAGTAATTTCTGATGTATACATAAACGCATACCAATCTCGCATCCATATTAACAATAATCGTAATGAAAAATATATATGTTTTGTTTTTACTGTTTAATTTAATTTATTTTTTAAAGTAATTGTATAAACATTTTTTGGGATGTATGAAATAGATTTTATAATAATTTATGTATCGTTTCTGATTTTGTGATTATTAAGATACCGTTCGTTTCAAATGTGAAATAAATAACTTTCTATGTAATATTTTGTTAAACATTATTGAGTATCAACTAGTGATTGCGAAGCTTCTTAATTTGACAATCTCAAAATGATCGAAGTGCATGTGTTGACGAGTATTTAAACCCCATTCCTTCCCCGAGCCAACATTTATGTCTATAGAATTCCAAATTACTTACACATTGTGGACTCTGCAGGTGCCAAAAAATAACAAAAACATTGGCCTTATTTTTTCCAACATAAACATTTTTTTTTAAATTTGATCTAAGAAATCCAATTAATTTTTTTTGGCCGAAAGGAAGAACGGCCCGTAGTAGCCAACATGCTCCTTTCATGCTTTTTAAAGTTGTCCTCCTTAGTGATAATATTTTTCTTGTTCCCATTAATTTACGCATCGTACTCTTAAACGATGTATATAGACTTCAAGTACGAGCCATTGAGCAGAGTAAACTGTTAGTGAATACTAGACGCCAACCAATACTCCAGATTATGACACTTTAAGGATGCTTTGTGCTCTAAAACTCCTTATAAGATCCTGCATCATGTTATTGTAAACACTTATGTTTAAGTGAACTTTCTCAAGCAAGAGTGAAGAGAAAGCAAATGAATGAATAGGTGTGTCTAAAACCGAATATTTTGTACGGCAAGGGTGTCTTCTATAACGCTGTCTATTCAGTGTGATTGCCATGATAAAACCAATATGAACGAAACAAAAAATCAAACTTTTTTTCCTATTATATACTTTCATATATTTGACCAAGTTCCCACTGATCCCTTTAGTCAACAACTACTACAGAAATACTACAATTTCTCACAGATTTCTGTTTTTGATTTTTCCTTTCGATTCCTTGGTGAACGTTCCAATGTAATCTTTTATATTCATGACATCAAAGCTTTGGTCGTGTTCAATATAACAATCACTATGTATCTATAATTGATGGGCAAATAATAGGGTACACAAGAACAATGCTTCTTATCGCACAACCAAAGGTAATTTTACGAACTGTTCAGAAGCGAAAAATTCATATACATAACAGAAGAAAGTCGGGTAATTCTAGATGAGTAAAAATTGTCGAAAAGCAACAGAATGCTTCAAAGGATGTCAAAACAAACAAAAGGCCAAACTGACTATATCGTCTTTTGTTCTAGTCGACAGGTTGTTGGCAGTTGGACAGAGAGGCGAGAAATTCTAACTCGCGCAGCCCATGTCATCGCGTGCGCGTTTGCCAAGACATAAAATTAACTGCATTATTCTATCGTTTCGTTTGATTAATTGCGCTTCGAGCGTTCTGGGGCGGGCGCCACGGAGGAGCCTAGAGTCTAGAAGGGGAGTATAAGACGACTAGGTTCTTTATTCAATGCTACCCGTCAACAGTGACACGCTGTGTTGACCACATTGTTCTTCACACTAGAGCTTTTCAACCCAACAGAGGGAAATAAAAGAAGGGTTGTACGCTATGGTTGTCGTTGCCCGATAGTAAAGGCTTGCTACTCGGGTTACCCGCCTCCTCCGTCGACCTGCCGTACAATATCCAGGCCATCGCTACATTAGGGATTTGGTATAAATAACAATTCACGATGATTATAGGATATACTATATATTATCGATCATTTATAGACTATCTACATGTTTCTTGGGGTAATTTATCTCCCGCTGTCAGTGTCTGTTACTGGATTACAGTTGCCCACAATCGGGACCATGATAATTTCTCACATTGAAAATCGTATTCAAGGAGTCCCACGTATATCCTAGAAACAGTTTATGATAAATTCATGCAAAAAATAATGAAATCGAAAACTGTGAACAATAGTTTCCGATTACGTTTTTTCATTTGAAGAAGCTGTGCGAAGAATCCCTATGGGGACTTTGGGCAGAGTTGTTAAAATTCACAGACAATGAAATGACTATATCCCTATTCCAAACCTATAAAAATAAATCATTTTTAATTAAATGTGACAAACACAAGATCTTTTTATTTACAAAATAAATTGCCTCTTAATAATCCGAATTTTACAACCATCTCACATTTCTGATAGAGATACATTTTGAATTTGCAGCCGAAGAGAGTATTTCAGAACGGATAAAATAGATATGTTTCTCAGCAATGGGAAGTAATTGAATGACTTTAACATATTTCTATCCTCTTTTCTGATGACTAATTTATGCATTATATTTTTATTATAAAAGAATTTATCAGTTTCTCTTAATAATCTAAAAACTAGTTTGGTTATGAACAATCTTTCGAACTGAATTGCAGCACTGAGGTCATCATGCCACATCATGCCAAAAGGCAAGTCAGATATGTAAATATCTGCAAATGCAACACCGAAGCATTATTTGTTGAAATAAGTAACCCTTTGCCCTAAGCTAGACGTCAAGTAGATAGATATTATTTTTCCATCGACCTATTAGTGGTCATCCCCTCGTTACAATGATGACAGCAGGAGCTCAACTACACAATAGCCTGTAAAGTTACAATAGCTAACTCAAACGAGCATCAACCACCCATAAAAAATGTTGGCCTTGATTAGAAAGACATCCGCTGGTAACCATTATTCATACCAGCTACCTGGATGTCTGAGCCTTTGCTTGAGGTTCCCTCACACTTGGATACCGAATTCAACTTGTAAGAGACTATATTTTATGACTGTCCAAGTGAGGGTTTATTCATCACTATCACAATAGCTCAAAACTAATATTTGGAGATGGAGACCAGCACGACAGCTCCCAAAGAATGTTGTATAATCTCGGGCCTCATAAAACAGCTGCTGTATGAAGGGAGCTCATCGGGACATTTAGTTACCACAAAAAAGACTTTCAGTTGACCATAATAAGTGCTAATCGAACAAATAGAGGAGTAACAAGGTCATTGTCTTTAAATGACCCTTGTGATTTGGTCAGTTTATTAGGCTGTATTTAAACATCTACATGATGTCCTTCATCTCCACACGATATTCACTTGACCTCATCATCATTAAAGGTGCGTTTTGTGGATAAGTTGTTAATTCAGGTGGTCAAAGAGTATAAAACAGCCATCACCAGTCGGATCATTCAGCAGTGTCCATTAATAATGTTACGTTAGGAATAAATACAAATCCATATTTAACGTACCTAATTGATTTTTTTATTGAAACTTTGCTATTTTGCTACGAACCTTAAAACATAGTTTTAGCTACCTCCCTGCAAAAAAAGGACGGTGGGGTGGTGGCCAAATATTTTAACACGTGGGCTTTACATCATACAGTCTGCCATTGAGTAAACTGGCGTCAATTCGATTCTCCGCTTGTACGTGACAAGGATTAGGATCGCCTGTTCAACTTCGTGGGTTTAATCGGTTTCCTCACACTGCTAAAGACCCCTGCGAGCAAGCGAATTATTGAAATAAAACTGAACCATATGCTAGTTCCGAAATCACCTAATGTGTGTCAAGTGGACGTTAAACCCTATTTCCCGTTTTTTCCCCTTTCAAGTATTCATGAATTGACTGAGTTAGTAACGCATTTTGGGCACTAATATACTTAATTGGAAGTAGACTTCTCAGTGTATCGTCAATTGAAGCCAAAATCACAACTTTCAACACCGGGTTGACCACAAGATTTATTCAAGCATAAAAGGGTTAGAGTTAACCCAATGGCTTAATAATATACGTTTCTCAGTTTCCCCCAAATCCTTACAAATACACGTATGTGGTTTTTTTTTATCATAACTATAGTCCAGTGGATTTGATTAAAGCAAATCTTACTTATCCGATCGTCCCCGAACCAATTGTTCCCATTTAGACAGGAGAAAATGACCACCACCTTGAGTTGGAAGTATGCGCAATGCATTGTTGTCTTAGTGAATGTAGGCGCCATTTACCACGTGTCACTGCGAAAAGTCATAGTCAGTTATCAAAGAGAGTGTTGTACCAGGTGTTCTTAAAAAAAAGTAAACACACCCAGCCTGGTGCACGATACCCGTGACACCTGGTAGGTCTCATTCCAAAATTGGTAAAGCACAACTGTCATCTTGTTCACAAAATATTACGAACGGAATGACTTTAGGGAATGGAATTAAGATATATAGGCTACCATACGTCATGATACACCGCTTCAGTAGAATCATTTAAATTAAAACATATGTTCCGGGCCTGTACTTATTCTTAATTACGTCAATGATATTTAATATTTGTATTTTAATATTTGACTTTACTTTAATAGATTTTAAAAATGATACAGAACAATATTACATAATACACATATACATGTACATCACTTAATAACACGATTCTAGGGTGCGACTGGGTACATATTGTATATGTCAATATAGGTACACGGAAAAACTATGAGACCATGAAAACGCTCTTTTAACCAGTATAGATGTACGTCTTGCGTCTTTTGTGTTGCTTTTAGATACCGTATAGTTGCTTAGAATAAGCAAATTAATATGAATAAACCAACCTAAATTAACTTAGTGATGCGACACGAAGTACATATTTTGTTGGAAAAAGTCGCCCCTCTACTATGTCAATATGGCGACAATAAACACGGAGAAATTTGAATAGATAACTCCGACCCGACGATCTTTCAATTACAACAAATTGAGTGAAATGAATGACATATTAAACGCATTATCGCAGAGTCGAGAGGGAATTTGAGATTATTGTATTATTATACAAATATTTAGCTTGCGAGAATCATACATGTAATTCAACGTAGTGTATAGTATACTTAAACTCTTTCATAAAATACACATAAGAAAAGAAGCGGGTACATATTAAAAATAAATTTATTTAAGCATAAAAAAATCAGCCAGGTTTAGGGCTCCTTTTCAGTCGTGTATTTCCTTAGGCTAACAGCTACTGAACTTGAGGTATAGTTTATTGTGGATATCTCGATTTGAATAGGAAAATTTAATTAAATTTTGTTCTCTGTTTTTTCCTCCGTTGGTCTTATTTCTATCAACACACAAAAGATACATTTTAAGAAGAAAATCGGTTATAAATAGAAGATATGTGTTGCATTTATAACTTTGTTACA